TTTGTTTTGTTTGTTGGGTATTAATCTGATCATAACGTGCTGCACTGAGCCCTCTGGAAGTGATGCGAAAGATGCTGAGTTTGGGGAGGTGAGGTGACATTGTACTGAAACTGAAATGCCTTTTATTTCAAAGAAAATAAAAGAAAATGGTGGGTGAAAAATAGTCTGAATTTGCTGCATTGATAGCTGAGAAGTCAGGTTTTGTGGAACTGATTGTAACAAATTTACAGCAATACTAATAGCCAGGAAAATACTGCTAAATTATCTAGATTAACAAGAAAATATACTATATTTAATTTTTAATGAAATAAATTTATAAGAGATCAGACGGGTAGATGATGCCTGTAATTTTACCAAACCAGTATATGAAATGTAAAAATGGAGTTGAAGTGAGATGATCACTCCCCCACAGTTAAATACAGCACTTGATTGCTCATCTGTGTGTATTGTGCAGGATTTAAACAATTTACATAACAGTGCATTACATAATAAACTATAGTTTTCACAGGTTGCAGTGTTCATTGTGGTCTACTGGACATCCTGGTCGCTTGTAAACAGCAACCTGTAGTGCAAAGGGGTGATGTCATGGTTCTTGAAATGCACTCAAGGATTCTTATTTTAGGAATGCAAATTCTCTCACTGTATCAAAACGTATGCATCCAGCAGTGTAAATGTCTGTAAGTGCCGTGGTACAGATTTCAACACAGGGTATTTTATAGATGTGTGTTCACATCCATCTGTAGAGTTGCACATTATGTATTACAGGAATATGGCTAGAAATATTGCCATGCATTGTTGCAGTAAACATTTACACCTATCTCTGCAGGTCTGTTCTGCAACTTCAGTGCAGTTTGAAAATATAATCTGCTGGCAGTGATGTGCCCAAAGTTAATCAGAATTTGTGGAAGGGAGATTGTTTCATTCTACAGCTTGTAGTCCTGACCTGGATAAAATTGACAAAAGGAAAAAAAAATAATATGAAGGGAGGGGGAGAAAAAAAAAAAAGGATAATAGAATGCTTCGGTGATGAAAGTGTCTGGATCATAGAGGAGGATTTTGTTTTATTTGGGGAGGATGTGGAGAGTGGGCAAGGAATTATCACTGACCATGGTTATTAGCTAGAAGAAATCCTAACTGCACATTAAACTCATTCTTGAGAACATGAATGTTTAATACAAAATCAAGCTGAATATTCAAGTGCTTAAACCAAGCATGCATATAAGCTGCTAAGAAATTGAATTCTTAGTACTCTGCAGGTAAAACACTATCAATTTTTGCCAACATGCATATTTTATCTTTTTTTTTTTTCTTTTACTGGCTTGATTTTTGGCCTTAAATCAGCTAGAGAAGTTCAGTTGTTAACATTTCAAGCTGTCTTCAGAATTTTATTATTTGAAGAAAGCAAGAACAAATGTGTGAGTATCAGCAGCGTGCAGAGCAGTGCTGCGATATTGTTCTGTTCTGCCTTTAAGCAGGTGGTTTCTTGTGGCAGGCTGGAAGAGAGATTCTTTCTTCCCAGCTTTTGACAAAAAGATGACGCATATGTCTCAGAATTAGAAGGGGAAATCTGCCAGTTTGCATCAGTTCCTCAACTTGTGGGTTGCTTTTCACCACAAGGAAAATTGGTATATTCGCACCAGTGCTTCTTGAGAGATGAGGAGTAATCATTTCCTTCAGAAAGTGTAGGATGATTGGAGTAGGCCCTTCGTATGTTACACTAGGCTTTTCCTATAAGATATCTTTCAAATATATTAAATATTTAGGAGGAAAAGAAAACAAAGCATGTTCTTAAATGCTGCTCTTAATGCTTGAAATGCATGGGATCGTGCATCTTATAACTTATTGCAGGGTAAAAGCAGAGGAATCTGCTTCCTTTAGAAAATACTGAGCTTTTCTTCTGCTGGAATTGTAACTCAAAAAAAGCCCTGTAGATCTCCATAGCTGAAAGGTAAGTTGTTTTGCTTTGTTTTTAACCTAATCCTATGTATCTCAGTCTTCAGTTCCAGCCTTAAATTAAGTTAGTAGGACTGGGGGGAAAAAATTAAATACAGTGAATTTGAGGGCTAAAGGTATTTGCTTTGTTGAGAAAGCATTTAATATGAAGTAAGGAAGCTCTAATTTTCTACAACGTCATGCTGTAGACCTGCTGAAAAAAAAAGAAAACCAAAACAGGCAGTAGCTTATATGAAAGAATCTGAATTAGCACTAAGGTTTGGGATATGGGGGAGAGAGTTCTCACAATATCGAGGTTTGCTCAAAGGGTGCACTGCTAACTGGCCATTTATTTCAAAAATAATATATTTTTTTAAAAGCTGGGTGCTGACTGTTAAGGTATTGGTATCTTTTTGTTTTGTGGCTATTTATTAAGCACTTGATAGGGCTGATAGTACCACTTAGATTTCTCAACTGCTACTGTGGTTTTAGGCATTGGATTTTACATTTTTTCTTAATATATTAACTTCTGGTTAATTCAGTATGGTTTTACTTTAAGCTCGTTAGTGAAATATTGAAAATCTAGCTTAATATAAAGCCTTAGGAGGTACCCAGCATCCTCATCTTTTTTTTTCCTTTTTTTTTTCTTTTTTTTCTCAAGTGGATAAAGTTCCTTTCATTTAGCAAAACTCTTGTTTAGGGCATATCCTAAACACATCTTGTTTTCTAGCTGTGGAAATGAACTTCACCGTTTAGCAGTCAGCCTTAGAAAGCACCGTATTCCGTGCACTAGCTCAGTCTGTGAGTCATAGGTCTCGCTGATGGGGGAGTGGGTAACAAACCTATAAATGTTTTTGAATGGGAGTATTCATGTGTGTGTGCTTGTGTGTGTGCAAATAGGTATCTTTTGTATGAATAAGGGGGGGGAGGGAAATGATCGGCCTTCCATCGGGGCTGCTGCTCCTGCGTATTTCTTCAGCTACTGTTGACTTAAGAAAAAATAAGTAGGTAGTATGACCAGTAACCTGTACCCCAAAGATGTTAAAGGCATCCAAAACTTGTGCTCAAGTGACTGCTTACATCGTCAAGCTGTAGAGATAGAGCTAAGGGCTGGAAGAATGACAGCAGTTGCCGGTAGGTGTTCCCCTGATGTTAACTAGAGGATTCCGTTAATAGTTGAGTCAATCTCTTCTAACAGCAGTTTTACCTTTCGTAAGTCATACGTTGTCTGGCATTACATAGAAGTCATGTAGTGATGATGTCAAGAGACAGAAGATAAAGACAAATTTACTGTCTGGGCCAGAAGGCAGGCTCACAAGAGGCAACTTCTTTCAGGACACGAAAAGCTCTTTGTTCTGTGGCCTTGGTCTTTCTGTGCTTTGACCCTTATTTTACAGCGTTGTCACTCTGACCCTAAATCTTTTGAAGCAGGCGGGCAGCAAATGTAGCCCTCTACAAGTGGGGTTGCATTCTGAGCTACGGGCCTGGTTCTCTGTCTTTCAGGCATTGTAGTTCCTTGCAATTCAGAGAGGCAGCAATTGAAAATTAAAGATGGGTGCTGTCGTCTAGACGAGTAGGATTGCATAGCAGGGTCATTTTTAAAAACATATTCACTTCTGTACGTGTTGCTTTATTGCCATCCTACGATTCCTTATGATTTACCGATTTCAGATAAGATGGCGACTAGGAGGGCAGCCTGGCTACAGCTAATTATTTTCCCCTTTCCCAGCAGTAATTTGGAAACTGATCCTTCTGTAGAGGACAGGAAGAGCTTTGGTGTAGATGCTAGAGTTAAAATACTTAAAAAGCAGTACCTGCCCATCTTTCTTTCACAAAAGAGTGGGTGCCAGCTTAGAAGAGCACAGTGTTTTACACCAGGCCTGTGTCTGCTGCTTGGGCTAAAAGAAAAAACCTGGTGAGAATTTGGGTGGGGAAAAAGGGAGCTTCCTTTTTTTAATTTAAGAAAGCTAGAAAAGAATGGAAAGGATAGAAACCTAAAAGTTTGCTGAGATGTTCTGAATCTTTATCATTTACCTTTATTCTTTTATAGAACAAGCTAGGAGAAATGTGATATATTTAAGAGGAGAACCTGTTCCTCTGTCTTAATAACTTTTCACTGTACAATGTGGGGGTTTTGTTATTTTGGCAATTCTTTTTTTTTCTCTTTTACCAGTAAAGTTCTACATGTGAGGTTTCAGCAACTTAAACTGTAAAAATAGGATAATCTTTTCTGGGGGTAACGGTGTAATTATCTAAAAATGCACATTTATTGGAGAATTGGAATAAAAAGATTTTTTTTAATCTTAAAGGATGTCATAAAAAAAACTTTCAATTAAAAAAAAAAAAAAGACATTTAGAAATTGAAGTTGTGTTTGAAAAATTAAAGGTGATCCTGGCTTTCTTTTTGGTAGGTTCTACTGACCAGGTATTGATCTTTTTGTGATGAAAACAGTAGGGGGGGGTGGGGGGTGGGGGGGGGGGAGGAAGGAAGAAATATTTTAATAACTACAGTAGTAACATATAAAACATAGTTCCTCGAACATTGAAAATAGTGTATTTCTTTTTCTAATTTTGTATGTATCCTCTCAAGCAGAAAGAGTACAGATTGAAAGTGTTCACACAGTTTTCGTCTTGCATGTATGCCAAAGGTGCAGAGAAGACAGATTTCTAAAAGTTGTATGCATGCTGCAGCAGTGCAAAGAGGGATGTGGGAAGCTATTCTGAAATACAACTTTCCCAAACACTGTTGGGACACAAAGCTTGTTATACTTCATGAGTTCACATTAAAATACCTCATATAGAAGTATAGTTAATGCATCAACATCTGACAAAACACTTTCAAGAAGCTGGGAAAAGAGGTGTGAGGAGTTGGTCTTATTCAATTTTATTTTTAAGCTAGAGTCAAAACTGAAATATACATTGATAATATTTGTCTGCTGTCTGTCAGCTTCCCTTAGGGCTCTTTTTTTTTTTTTTTTAGCTCTAGCAAGAAAAAAAAATAGTTTCAAGTCTTGTGCTCGATTTCTCACTTCAGATCTGAGTACCTTTTAGTTTCTTTCCTTCCACAGAGCATTTTGATTGCCGTCCATCACTTCCACAGAAGCCTCAATATTGCCATTCCAAATGACTCTCTTTATTTTTGTTTGTTGACATGACTGCAGTGAAGGACTGGTGCACCTCCTACAACAGAACATGCAAGTCAGGTCAGTGTAAGCCATGGTTGGAGTACTGAGATGAATTTAAAGGGGTTTAGAGCTGAATTTAATACTGATGGACCATAACTGCATTCTCAGACTTCCATATATTTTTAAACTGCAGACTTTCTTAACGTTTTGGTTTTTTTTTTTAGCTGACTTTGTTACTTTATGTTTATCTTTTGCAGTAGCTCTCCAGATAGTCTAAATATGTTTGTTTATGATCCTTGGAGGAATGGCTGGCCACATGTTATAGATTCTCCAAATTTAGCAACAGTAAATTTCTGTAATCAGCAGTTATCTGCTTAAATTTCATTAGTAATATTTTACATTGCACAGAACTTCTGTCATTGTCTCAGTCTCTCACTGTGTATACACAGGAAAAATTGTTGACACGATTGTGAAACAGTTAACAGATAAATACCCTTTTTTTCCTCAAAGTTTGTGTGCTTGACCTTACCCATAATTTACAACCAAAACTGCAGAGCAGTTCTAGCTATCTCTGTTCAAATAATCATCCTTGTGTTCAGAAAATTATCCAAAGCACTGTGTCTTTTTAATGCATATTGATGCTAGTCTTAAAAATATTTAGCTGCTTGGTAGAAGATAGGGGAAGATTTATGGGGAGAGTGTATAAGCTTGATCCTGAAATGACTGCACCTTTCTGTGGTGAAGTGATGCTAATTTATTCCCGCATTACAGTCATTTAATAATAATAAATAATACTAAAAAGAAAACCCACAGAATTGTTAGGTCAAAAAAAAAATTGCTTTTTAGAACTGCAGTCCTAACTGTGAGTTCAGAGTCTTACTATTACTTCCAGATAAAGGTAATTAAGGTATATATTTCTCTCCATTCTTTTTGCTCTCTGGACCACACAGTAGTCTCAATTAAGTTGAGAGCATTAAGTGAATGTCATAGGCTATACCCGAACCAAGTAACAGTGCAGTCGTTGCCAAAAGTGCACCAGTATCTTTAAAATAATGTTTAGAGTTGGTATTTCAATTGAATCTTTCCTCCTTTTCTTGTTATCTGCATGTCACTGAAAGCAAAGGCTGTGAAGAAGCCCTTTAGTCCTAAATATTCATGTCAACTAAAGCAGCCAGTGGAGAGGGATGGCAGAATATTTGACTCGCATCTATTTTAAAATGTAAGTTTTAAAAATGAACAAGGCTATAAATTCCTGCATGTTTGCAGTATAAATATTACAGTGTTGAGCAAGCATAAGACAAGAAGTGAAACTACTATTGTTTAAACTGGTGGGGAAAAAAGCAAACAGTGCATTATCAAGACTCAGCTCCATACACTTTTAGATATCAAAACGTGGATGCTTAAGAATAGAAATGTTTGTTTTTCTTAATACTGTGGTGACAATGTCTCTTCAATTCTGTCTTTTTCACAGAGGTAAGGTTTGCTGGTATCCCAGATTAATTTGATAGAAAGTGTGTATTTGAAGCAAGCATTAACTGTTAATGTGCATGTTTGTGCTGAACAGTGTTTAGGTGGCGCTGACTTGTGGTCTGAAGGGGCAGCTTTGCAAGTTTACCTGCAGTGTAAAAAAAAAAAAAAAAAAAAAAAAAATCTCACTGTAAAATGTCTGTCATATGATTAAGTTATGCTCTTCTTGGAATGCACAAAACAGATGTCAGAACTGCTGTCTGCACACAACCCCATCTCACATCAGCTTAAAGGGGTTAAACTGGGAGAGCTTGCATATGGGGATGTACTTTCTGATGACTGTGTTATGGGTGCTACATAGCACTGGTGGGAAGCACTGCCATGCTTCTGACTTGAAACTCTGAGAGCCTTCCAGTCTTTCACCCTTTGTTCTCTAGTTTTAAACTGCAGTGAGGTTGGAAAGGGTGACAGTGAACAGCGAAGCTGTGCTTTCATAGTGTATCTGTGTTGCTTTGCAGTGATGAACAAGTAACCCAAACAAAGAAATATGGCTGTGTGTGAATGGTGTCTGACTATCAGCGTGGAAGGTGCACTGGCCAAGAAATATCAGGAGAGAGCTGTTGGTGTCTGAGCACAATGTGCCAAGTAAATGTTTAAGCTTATGGCACATTCCTGGGCATCTGACACGATGTACTATATTTAATAGAAAGGCCTTGGTTTGGTTTATTCCAAATCACCGGGCTGTCAGATTGCTGGCTGGTAGCACCTCTTGGAATATAACTTGTTATTTAAATTAAACTTATTAGTAGCTATAGTTGCCACAAATTCACTTTGAATCCCATGAAAATCAATTCCGAAAGAAAATGGAGTTGGTGTTATCATAAACTCTTTACCATAAGCCAATAAAAAACTGATGGCAGTTTTTTACATTAGACTGTTCCTTGATACATCAACTGAAACACTGGAATCGAGAAAAGGCTTTCTGACCACCACTATTTTTCTTTTCTTTTTGTTTTTTGTAAGCAGTTTCCCTGCTTTTCTAATTTCATTTTCTATTTTCTTATTCCTTATTTCTCTGTACATGTAAAGAGCCTCCTTCATTGGTATTTAAATTCCAGCTCTTCAGAACTCTTCTATCTTTCTCAGCAGAGCTCCTGCTTGGAGGGGGCCTAGTGGAGAGACCTAATGGAGTTATCTGTACACACGATCCCCTGCTTTTATTGAGGCCTCCTCAGTAATTTGTCCCCCAGCAACAACTGAAGACATAAGGATAGAGATAGAAAAGCAATCATTAGCACGACTGTGTCAGCTTTGTGACCAAAGCACAGAGGTACAAGGCTTTGTGCAGATGCTCCTGGATATCAGTGGATATCTTGCTTAATTATCTGTATGCTTTTTATCTTGGTCTTCTTCCTTTCATCCTTTTCCTGTTTTTCAACCCTTTCTCTCAAATATATCATCTTCAATTGTAACTAGCTTCTACTCATTAAAATGTATTTTTAATAGCAAAGTAGAAGATGTACACCCGTGGTTTTTGTTTTTAATTTTATTTCTTGGTTGGGGGAATTTTTGGTAGTGAAGATCTTTTTAAAAAGTAATCCTATAATGCATGTGAAGTTTTGTATTCGTGTTTGGGGAAGGGGGGAAATTACCTGCCAGTTCTCTTAAAGTATTCACTGGGGAAAATAGCGTAATAGTTCTGCCAAGTCTTCATCTCTTGGGGGGCGTGTAGTTTAATTTTAGAGGGATTTACTTATGCAGAAGAGGAGGGGGGATTAATTAAAAAAAAAAAAAAAAAGCCCACTCATTCTGAAGCTAGAAAGCTAAAACAAGCAGGCAATTAGGCAACTGAAACAACAGTATCTAGTTTAACACAGCTTAAAATTAAAAATTTGGCCTGGATGTATAAATGAGAAATGCACTTCCAAAGGTATTAAATGTTGTAGCTGTCTTTTTTAAGAATCATGAAATTCTGATATCTTAAGGTAAAACTTACAAGTAAAAGGCAGTATTTGATCTTGTGAGAAATTTTCTTGTCTTTTCCCAGAAAAGTTTAAGTGAATCTTTTTCCTGCTTTCTGGCTAATATCTTTACAAACATATTCTTCTTACCTTCTCCCCTTTTGCTTTATGCATACATAGATGCAGATACACACAGTGGATTATGTTTGGCATAGTTTCTTTGGAGGGATGATCAGCTGTGACAACATACTGTTGCAGTTAGGTTCCTTTTGCCTTTACATTCAGATTCTACATCACCAAGGTACTGGGTAAGTTGGGCCTCTATAATCTAGCTTGCTTATTAATGAAAGCAAAATGAGATATTAAGAGGGGAAAAAAATACATGTAGATATAGTTGTGCATATACAAAATATACTGGAAATGGCTCTCTTATACAGTCTCTAAAGTAGCATTAGTACCTTGACAGTCAATATAAAGTCTTGTGTTGCTGCAATTAACTATCTACTGGCAAATCTCATTTTTAATTGATGCATCTCTACCAACAGACCCTTTTAGCAGAGGCTGTCCTGCTGTATTACTATAGGAGCAAACACTGGAAAGAAAGGAAGGAAAACTTAGCAAACTTTCCCATATGTGGCCTGCAAAACTGCTTTGTGCTTACACAGATAGTCCTGTTAATTTAAGAGGGTGATTTCATCCTGCACTGCCTAGAAGACTCTTCACAGTGGAAAGAAGTACTTGGGTTGAATCTGTGTAAGTTGCTTTTCTTAAAATAATTTGGTATTAAAAAAAATAATTTGTTTTATGTAGGGAACCATAAAAGTACCACATACATTTAAAACACTGATGTACTTGAGCATGAGAGAAAAGGGTAATTGGTGAGGATGTGAACTGAGGTTTTTCACCAACATCTTCAAATAAATGCAGTGTGATCAGTTTGGGGTGGAGGCAGATAGGCTGCTACAAGCTACTTGCTAACTCTTTTTTCTCCTCAGTAAATAACCACATAATCTTTAGTCCCTCAAATTGGATGCCATTGTCCACTTTCTGGTTTGTGGCCCATTAAGGTCTCATGTACAGATTTCAATAAAGTCTAAAGCTTTGTGTAAATAAACAAGCAGCTTGGTAATGTTTTATAAGGATTTTGTAGTTAATACAGTTCACGTCAATACACAAAAACTGTTGTTCAACACAGTTCTGCGTTTAGTTCTCAACATAAGTTTCTACGTCCTCAAAGTGCAGTAGACACCTTGGCATAACGTAGCAGCACATAATGGTTTGTGGATTTTGAAAAGGTGCAGGCCATATTGTGCTGCCTCAAAAATACAAGGATTTCATCATCCTGAAGAGAAATGTCATTTAGGAATTAGTCAATCTTGTGATGCTGATGTCTGTCATACTCTAGCAGCACGTAAATATTGGTGTTAAAACTGTAAATATCTCCAGTATTAACTGTGCTGCTGAAGTAAGGCTAGCCACTTCTGCATGTGAGTCATGAGAGAGAACGTTTGTATTTCCTGAAGCTGCTCTGTTGTTGCTTATATGTTGATTGTTTATGAGCATTTTCTTGGCTTGGTTTGTGTTTTCATCTAGTTGGTAACAATATATAGGAATTCAGATTATCTGATGGCAAATGTGGAGTAAGTGCGTATGTAGTCTTGACTGCTTTGGTTTACATGAAAGCTGAATTTATTAAAGGAGTGATCTCAGCCTATACCTGTCTAGCAGTGCTTTGGTAAGTGTGTTTTAATATATATTTATTTGTATGTATTTATTTGTATGTAATTATAACAATGACATCACTTTAAATGCTAGTGTATCTTTATTAAGACTCCTGTAGCTATGTTAATTTTTACAGCATTTTCTTAATGGATGGAAATTGGGAAATGTTTTGTGATATTTTTAGCAAAGCAAGCACATACAGTAGAAATACCTTCCAAAATTACTAATGAAACTTATTCAGATCTCTATTTTATATCTTAAATCAAACATTCTTTTCTTAATTCATTTCTTAAACTACAAACAGCTGAAAATTCTAACCCTAAAATTGTTAACTATGTAAGTGACTGTGAATTTACTAATTCTTTTCTCATCTTCCACTGACATATTTCTTTTGCAAGGGAATCTTTCATTGAGACAATTGAAATTGCTGCAGTGAGAATAGAAATTACTTGGGATCCTTTCCTTTTTAAAAGCTGTATGCAAGAACTGTGTGGTGAGTCAAACTTGGACTAATGGTTATGTAAATGTCACTAATTTTAGATACAGGCAAGATCTGAAAGTGTTTCCTTTCAGAATTTTATTTTCTTCACTGTCATGACTCAGTATCACTTGCTAATCTTGTTTTATTAGCCCTGTTATATATTGCCATTAAAACACTTATTTGAAGACTGCTTGTGTTTTACAACTTCAAGTTTATACGTCGTATAGATGTTTTAAATTGAGGGGAAAAAAGGTTTTCTGCACTGGAGATTTCTTTTGACTCCAGAGATCTGCTACTGGTGCAGCTGCACAGGTACAAACATGATGTAATGAATATGAATGCAAGTGGTTACAATTCATAAATTTGCATTGCTTTACCACTTGGATGTTCAGCCTGCTATACATACTGGTGAAAAGTCACTTTTTTATTCCTGCCCCTGCTATGGATTGAAAATAATAAAACTACTTATGACCAAAACTTTCTAATTTAGTTCAGACCTGAGCACTTCTCAATAGTAAAGCTATCCAGTCCTAATTAGCCCACAGCTTCTCATAAAGTATCTGTGCTTCTGTGTGCCATTTCCCTACTGCGTCTCTTGAGATGCACAGCCAAAATGAGGTTGACTACTCAAAAATGGTTACCTGGCTCAAAGTTGGATAACTTATCTGTAACTGTGCACCTCTGCAGACTGTGGTGTTTGCAAAAGGCCATCCATGCTGTCACTCCCGTGGATCCAATATTTAATATCTCTGGGCTGTATCTCTGAGGTTTCAGAGAGCGTAGATGCAAATCTAAAAAGCCAATCAGAAAGATCTGAGAGCATGCAATGGACAGATCTGTTTGCATGGCATTGCTGTGTGAATGGTGAAATAGACTGCTTTTTTCTGGTTCTCCTTGCAAACCCCTATACTGACACAAGGCAGAGAGTGGGAAGCAGCAGCAGTATGAACTTGCACTGCTTTGTTTAGCCATAAAGGCTAATGGTGATGAAAATACAATTTGAGTATTTGCAGAAACAAGACTCAAACAAGGAATGAAAGTTCCAGTTTAGTTTGATTGTCAAGATGATTTCAAGTGCTTGTGAAAACCTATCCATGTTATTTGGTTCCTAAACCTTTGAAAAGAATGTCACCTTTTTTGCATGGTTCATAGTTGCCTTAAATATTAGTTGTTATGTTTTCCAGAGATAAACCTGCAAGGATGCAATGTCTCCAGTGGTGGAATGGAACTCTCCTACATTTGCAGTTCTGAGGTCCTATGGATTTTGACTGATTGAAGAAAAAAAGGTGTATTATATTCAATCCAAATGCTTATTTTCCTGCTAGTCTTAGGAACTGTGAAGGGAGCAGATGCTTAATTCATAAATAAGGGAAATAAAAGAAAGGCCTGCTTGAAAATATCTTGAGATTAGTTGCTATTCAAGAGTGAAGACAACTGGTGAGAGGAGCATGTCTGAAACTCCTGTGTTTGAAAGATTGGAGCTGCGAACTGATAGGGGAAAGAGATGTAAAACTGGAAAGTTGGAAGGACTGGTACAGGTTGGGCAATGATTTAGGGATTTGTTTGTTTCTTGAAGATGGAAGAAGCAGCAGCTTAGCGGAAGGAACCCTGCCTGATACTGTGAAGAGAAAGCAGGGGAAAGCAGGTCAATGTTAACATTTATTAGAATGCGTAGCACTTGAGTCAGATCATGACATAGTAGTTTTTGCTATGAAATCACTGTCACTTTCGTTTCTCATCCAAATCCACAGAGAAAAGGGTGTCTTTATTACTACAGTCAGCTACTTCATGAAATTTCATCCTGAAAAGGCATTTCAAAAGTTACAAAGTAGTTGTAAGAGATGGAGTAGATGTAAGCTATGGAGATCATCTAGTCAACTAGTATAAGCAGAACAGGCCTCTCAGGGCTGTATCTGATCTTAATTTGCCCCCTTGTGTTAGTCTACTATGAAGCAATCTTCATGATCGTATGGAATATTCAATGATAGGACCAGTGTGGTGTGCTGCTGAGTCAGGGAAGATGTTTGTAGGCTGTACAAGGAAGAAGCTCAACCCTGCTACAGAAATAGGTTGAAAATTCTGTAGGGAATGGACCAAAGCCTACGAGCAGAAGAAACTGTGTCTTCATGTTTACGTGAAAGGAGGTATCCTAGGAATTGGAATTTATATTCATTTTTCTGTTTTTATTTTTGTATGGTGTACTAATTACTAGGCCATTGATTTTTGTAGTGCTTATGTTCCTCGCTTCACACGTGGCCTTAAGCCATCGTGTCCAATGGAAACACTGGATGTCCACATTTGCAGCTGGTCTGCGTAAGGATTGTAAACATGAATTTAAACTTTATGTAATGTTATGTCTGCCTGTAGTCTCCTACATATTTCAAGTGGGACACCTCCAACTGTTGGATACTACTGTAGTTTCTGTATCTTCGTGTCACGTTTAGAGTAGGGATGATAGTCACTTGAAGGGTTATTTTTCTATTTTTGCTTATTTCAGGCTTTGTCTATTAGTTGTGCTACAGGCATGTGTTTCCTCATGGGATTTTCTATGGCATTTATGACTTCAGATCACGGAGGAAGAGGTGAGCATTGTCTGTTAGTTACCTTGTTAGCAGTTCAAGTAGAATCACTTGGTTAGCACCCTACACAGTTTATTTCCATTGGCAGTTATTCAACAGCTCTCAGGTACTGCTCTATTTTTCAGAATCTGCCTCGCTTATAGTAGTCCTGTGTTAATAAATAAAATGTAACATATCTAATATTGCTCCCTTTTCTTACTGTAAAATTTGATCTCTGTATTCAAAATTTCTGAAATAAACATTAACTATAGTAACATGCATCCAGATTGAATCTTCAGTCTTAAGTTGATAGTGCTGACCAACTTAGCTTCTGCTGAGAGATAGGGATCGTTCTGTAGCTGTAATGTTGGGGTTTTTTTCTGTTGCTTGTAACTGCAGGAGATGCCATAAATGAACCATGGGTTCTGCAGGGTAAGCATGTGGCTCTGCATAAAGGGATCTTTTATTGGAAGCTTCAGTGCTTTGAAGTAGTTTAAAAGGCATAGTATTTTTAAAATCTACCATAAAATACTCTGAAATCTTACGTAGTTCTGATCTTATAACATGTAAAGCATAATCATAGAACACAGACTGTGCACACACTTCTAATAGTTTGTTGAAATAAAGGCAAAGAAAATGCTTCAGAGATTATATTACTGGACCAGCTAGAATAGTAGACAGAAACAAATGAGTGTGGTACTTACAGTTCTGTGATTCTCAAGCAAGACAAATTTGGGGCTGACAGAGTCTTCCTGTTCCCCTCAGTATTAGCCTGGCTCTGATGTTTCCATGGTGGTTTCACTGAGTGACTTTGGGTTTGATTTTGGTAAACTCAGCCAGCTGACTGTGCTTGTTGTGAGAGCAGCAGTGCTGGC